TCCTGGGCTTAAGCAGTCCTCCCACCTCAGCCTCCCAAAGTGCTGGGATTATAGGCGTGAGCCACCGTGTCAAGCGTGTGTGTGTGTGTGTAATCACCAGAGAGCAGAATTTTATATTGATTTTACGTTTTTGTCTTAGGTGACTTTTCCTGATAATTGATAGAAAATGATTTGTCTATCTTCGAGAGGCGGTACTGTATTATCAAACATGACAGAAGGCTCTGAGGAATCAGTAGCACTTAAAGTACTCACACGTACCTGTATTTTGCAGGAAGGAGACTGTAATTTTGGATTCCTTGGTGGAGGAAAATCAAACACTCTGGTCTTGCTCCCAACGATGCAAGTGTGATTGCTGGTGTCTTCATGAGCTCCAGAGGTCACAGCACGCTACCAAGGACTCTCATGGCCCCTCGGATGATTTCTGAGGGAGACATAGGAGGCATTGCTCAAATCACCTCCTCTCTCTTCCTGGGCAGAGGCAGTGTGGCCTCCAACCGGCACCTCCTGCAGGCTCGTGGCATCACCTGCATTGTGAATGCTACCATTGAGATCCCTAACTTCAACTGGCCCCAGTTTGAGTATGTGAAAGTGCCCCTGGCTGACATGCCGCACGCCCCCATCGGACTGTACTTTGACACTGTGGCTGACAAGATCCACAGCGTGAGCCGGAAGCACGGGGCCACGCTGGTGCACTGTGCCGCGGGGGTCAGCCGCTCGGCCACGCTCTGTATCGCGTACCTGATGAAATTCCACAACGTGTGCCTGCTGGAGGCGTACAACTGGGTGAAGGCCCGGCGGCCCGTCATCAGGCCCAACGTTGGCTTCTGGAGGCAACTGATAGACTACGAGCGCCAGCTCTTCGGGAAGTCGACAGTTAAAATGGTACAGACACCTTACGGCGTAGTTCCCGACGTCTACGAGAAGGAGTCCCGACACCTGATGCCTTACTGGGGGATTTAGTGCCACGGGAGCCTGCGTCAGCGGCCCCGGCCCGAGCAGGACCGGCGTCCGCCTCCCGCCGGCCGCTCCCTCTCCCCTCTCCGCTCAAACGGCTGACTTCTAAGTCTCCCTCAAGTGTTTTTACACTGGGTGTTCAAATTTCTTTTAAGAGATGATAGGGAGGGGACATAAAGGGAATGCATATACTGCTAGTCACATTTTTAAAATTAACATTTTGGAATAGCGTTTATGAAAATCTTTAGCTTTTAATCATTTTTAACAATTTGAACAGTTTAATAAACTGTTTGGTTCTGCTCTCTTCTGAATCTCATGCCTTTGGCACCTTGGGAGGTACAGGAGGAGCTCAGTGCAAAACTCACTCTGGGGCCTCATTAGCCCTTTAGAGACAAGCTTTGCCCCAGGCTGCTGACCAAACAAACATGCTTAGGGAAGATTGATACCAGCTTCAGTCTCTACTGGATTCGCCCTACTCTTTCCTTTCCCCTCTATTATTTAGTGACTCTGTAAGTTAAAATAAATACACCTTTATTATTTAGCTGTTAAGTAACTATAATGAAATCTGCTGCAAAAAACTCTCTTGGAATCCATGTGCCCAGGATTATATTAGCATTATTTTTAATAAATCTATATGCTTACCATACTAGAATTTTTACTAATAATTTCAGGGTGTGTGTGTTGATGGAAAAAAGGTGCCCACCAGTAACTGTGCTAAAATGTGGCTCTTGTGACAAGTGTGAACACTACGTAAAATACAGCTCCCACCCTGGTGGCTGGGCTGGAGGGGGATGACCGTGCACGCTCTGATCGGGGGTGCTGGTTTTGGTTTCCTCTTAGTGGAGGGCCCTGAAGCAGCATGTCCTCCACCGGAGAAACTGGTTTTCAATAAAAGGTGCCTCTGCTTGACTAGTAACCACATACGAAAATGCCCTTAAACTAAACCTCAGAATAAGAGATAAGCAAATAACAGTGGCTCTGTTTAACACTGGGAATGTCACTCACTCCGCTGCTCCTGATAACTGGGCAGCACCGCTCATCAGGTACATGGTAGAAGGTAGATGAACTCACCTCTGTCCCACTCCTGGGTGCTTTCCACGGGGTGCCTTTCTTCTGGCTGGAGGGCGGCCTGGGATTCTGCCCGTGAACCCTGTCACGGCACTGCTTGTGTGGCTTCGTTTGTCAGGGAGCTTGTGGCTTGCTCACCAGAGGAATTCTAGGTTTTTGGGGGTCAGTTTTGGCAGGAAGCCATGTATATGCCAGTAGCTACATATTTAGACAAATATCCTCCAGATTTTACCTGGTTTGTGGCAATGTTTTTTTTCATCTAAATTCTACCTTTTCTTGCTTGTATACCCCTGGCCGCCCATTCTTATAAACGTGCATCATTATTCTCTAAATAGGAAAATTAAAATGAAAACAATTAAAATTATTAATTGTTTCTATGGGAAATCAGAGGAACCAACCGATGCTATAAGATCAAAAATCAACATCATCATCGTCATCCAGGGAGGCCCTGGCTGCTTTAGTATGAGGTTCAACTTTGAGTCTGGAAGTTTCTGAATGAGAGCCACTGTCCTAGGGCGAGAAGACACCTGCTAACAGATGTTCTTGGTAATAAATGAAAATCACCTGTAGAATTCCTGGAAAGCAGCAATAATGGGGCTGTCACTGAGAGTTCAAACATGGGAAGTCGAACACCTTTGTAATCCAAGTGTGTGGGCCCCTGTTCATCCTAGTGAGTTGCATCTACGTGAAATCAACCCAACGAAGACAAGACCAAGAAAAAGTCTAGTAGCCTCACATCCTTCTATACTTGTATTTTGGTTAGTGAAAGTTTAACAACACTAACTGTTCTGGGCCTGTTCTGTGATTTCAGAACAGACCCTGAAAATACTTTAAAAGTAAAACTTTATAATATCTAAACATATCAATTAGAGCAGTTATTAAAATATAAACAAGGAAAAAAACATACCATCTTTTAAAATACAGGAGCAAATTCCACATCAAACAGCAGACAATGCATTTCGCTATAGGCCACGGCATTCACTGGTTAATAAAGCCACAGCTACAAAGTAATGAGATGTCCCACATGAATACTTTAACCACTTACGTGCACATCAACATATAAATGATGGAATTAAGTAAAAGCTTCATTATAATGATATAAAAAGCATGTGTCAAGTGGCATTTTTCTCCCAACTGTTTCACTAGAGCTTTATTTCCTCAGCCTTGCAAGGAGTGGGCTTTTCAATATTGCTATTTGGTGCACACTCATCTGAAGAAATAAATACCTTAAACATAAAAAATACAGGTGGCTCACACTGACATTTGCTGGAATGGTCTAGAGCAGGCTACGGTGCTCCCTGTCTGAATGGCAAATGTCTGAAAATGTCAGAGTTTATTAACTGTTCACAAAGGAAGGCATGTGACCTCGAAGGTGTTCAGGGGAATTTTTGTAGTGGTCCCCAGTACAGGGCCAGCATTTCCTATTTCTGTAACATCAAGCCCCTATGATCTTTCCAAAGCGGAAGCACACATTAAACAGGCAAAGACAAGACACTTTTCAACAAGACCCCCCAAGACCCTTCAAATATGTCTTTGTACACAAAATATGCAAATAATTAAACACACACAACCCCTATGAAATACTAACTAGTAACTACAGGAAAAATAAAGCATGGAAAATATCCTAATATATCCAGTACCTATTCTAGCTCAAGCATGTCCAGACAAAAATTAAATTACACACTAAGCCATAAAAATTTTAAAGGCAAAACATCCCACCAAAAAAAGGAAAGTGCGTATTAATCGCCATTCAAGCAGTGGGGTGAAGCCGCCGGCACAATCCACAGTATGGAAATAAGTAACCTTGGTTACGGTTTCCAGGGACAGTGTCCGTGTCCCACGCTCCTCGGATCCTCATTGGTGGCATCTAATTAAACATTTCAAGTATTCAACAGATATGAGAGGTACTGAATACTTTCCATAGCAAAGGCTTGCTTTTGTTGATGTCTGCTGAATTTCCCTGTGGCACCTCCCAAGGAGTGACTAAGCCTATCGTCCTTGGTACTGAGGAATTTTATCTGAGGCATTCTGGAATTTCTCAGAAATAGAAACCAGTCCAGTTAACAAGTGAGCTTACTTTTTAAATGTCGATACCAGTCCACTGTGACGGGATAGGAGTCTACAGAGCATTTTGAAAAGTTCCAGCGCTATAAATTCAAACTGGGAAACTTTTTTTTTTTTTTTTTTAAGAGACAGAGTCTAGGCTGGAGTGCAGTGGCACGATCACAGCTCACTGCAGCCTCAAACTCCTGGACTCACGCAATCCTCTCACCTCAGCTTCCCAAGTAGCTGGGACTACAAATGCCCACAGATGCACACCACCGTGCCAAGCTAATTATTTTTTATAGAGTCGGGGTCTTGCCAGCTTGCCCAGGGCTGGTCTCTTAACTCCTGGGAAACATTCTTACTGCAAAGGCAGATTCTGTTGTCATAGTTCTGTTACGAAGTTTATAAGGTCAATTAGAAGCCTGCCGGCATTCATGGAGCTGGTGCTGCCCAGAATCAAAGCACCAAGGCCTCTGCAAAAGCCTGCCACTTCAGAGTGAGGTGTCTCAGTCATGAACAGCCAGAGACGGTATCATCGGGAGCCAGTGAGAAAAGTGTATCTCTTCCCAGTGCCCCTTGTGCATTCGGGTATGCAGAAGGTCAAGCGGAAGCCTCCCCAACAGCTGTTTAATGAAAACCTTCTACACCTTTCTTGAAGAACACGGAAAAGCTGTAAGATGGAGCAAGATAGAATTTATCCTGACGGGGAAAATAAATTATGTAAAAGCAGCAATTATATACACAAAACCAACTTTTTCAGTTTAAAAATAAAAGCTAAGTCTAGGTCAGAGAGCCGAAGCCACGCAGAAGAAAGGAAGGGAGACTGAAAAACCTTTTCATAAAGCGCATCATCAAAAGTTCAGAGAGGCGTGTGTCCTAGATCGCTATGTTCCTCCTAGGAATAACACAGCGCTCAGCCACTGGGCTTTTTCCCTCTAATTTTATGCATTCAGATTAAATGGCAAAGAAAATTCCCTACACCGGGAAGCAGGAGCTTTTCCATCTAAAATTCAGTACTATTTCTCAACGATTTCCTTCTACTTCTTCTAAGTCATGTATCTACCCCATAAATATACATCTTGCTACTTTACACTAGGCCGAGAACTCCACATTTTCACCCTGAATTAATTTTCAGGTTTTTCTCAAGATACTGCTGTGAAGTCAGGCAGTGTTGGTCCCTATGCAGTCGTCTCTGGAAATCTGGAGTCAGGCCACTGCCAAGAGATTTCATCCCACCGCCTTTCCGAACCTCGTCCGAGAAAACTGCCGTCGCAGTCTTTGCATGTGGCAAAACGGGTTTGCAGGGAAGGCTCCTCGGGGGAAGGGTGTTATCCTGATACACAGGATTTGGGCCTCCGTCAAAATGAGCATTCTTCACGACAGCAGAGTGCCCAGGCCTGTTTTGGAAAAAAGTCTTGATAGTTGACAGAAATAAAAGTAGAGAACTGGTTCAGTTATGACAACAAAGTTGGTGAAAGCTACCCTCACCTGCCTGCTACCATCCAGGGGAGATGGGCAGAATCTTCTCTAGAAAAAGCAGAACGTCAGTTTAATCGCAATTTCCCCTTTTTATTCATTGCAGACATTAACAAACTAAATGCAGATACACGCATTCTACTGCACAGGACAGTAGGCGTCCTAGATAAGAACAAGCACTGGCTCGAAACCCTCGCCCATTCCAGTCCCGCACAATAATTTATTTTTCTTCAAATGTCAGTTCTTCACAGTTTCAATACTGCAGCAGCAAATTATTCCTTAGATCAAGAAAGCTACGGTCCATATTTTAGAAGATCTTAACAAAAGTAGACAGAAGTGAGCAAACTTCGGGTGCCATGTGCAGTTTGGGTGGGACAATTTTACCTCCGATCCCGAAGACCGGCTGTGGGAATGACTGGACCCTGCAGCGTCCCCCATGCCTTGCGGTGTTCTTCACCTAGAGTCACGGCAGCCAGCTGCGCAGCGTTCGCATTCTAGTTATTGGTCCCTGTCACCCCATGGGGTGTCACAGAAAAAAAAGCCAATGCTTCACAGAGGAGTTGTTCAGAGCAGGTCAGGCAGGACGAGGCCAGGAGGCTTTGGTTCGACACAGTTGATCCAGAAGTTGGCACAGCTGGCGTGATACTGGTGCCCTCCATAGGCCAGCTTGAAACTGTCGGATTCTGAGTTGAATGCCTGCCAGAAATAAACAGAGATGTGGGGCAAGTCAGGCTTTTTCTGTATCTAAGAGCTTTTCAGCAACCAACATGTACATCTCTCCAGGTCACAGAGGCTGAGGCCAAAATGGTACACACACAAAAGCTGAGCGGGTAGCTATGGGAATCCAAGAGAGAGGTTTTTTACTGCTAATTAAAGGTATAAAAACTGTTACCACTAAACCTAGTTTCAGCAAAAGGCGGCCAAATCTTCCATGGAAAAGGCAGACAGAGGTCATGGGGCAGAGGAGGGTGAATCATGATGATGGGAACTAAGGTAGCCCAGGGTTGTGGATAATTTCTACCCCTCACTGTGCTGAAGCAAGCCCTCCTCCTCCCAAGGCCGGCATCTGCCTACAGCATGCAATCCTATACATTCCTGTGCTGAGCATAAGCCTATCGTGACAAAAAATTACAGGAGTCAGAGAACAACAGATAACAACTCTCAGGGTCTAATGTCATTGGGAGCTAGTTACTGAATCTACATTACCAAAAAATCCAAACAGGCATAGAGTTCAAAAATGAAATACCTCGGAATGAATGGGCATTGAACACATAAGAATTATTTCCAGATGAGTAGGCTTACCAGAAAGCTACAGTCAGCCGTGGAAAAGCAGTCCAAATCTCAACCCCTTCCTGGGCTTAGTTTTCTAACACACTGCAAATAAACAAAACTCTAAAACCCAATTTGCCTTTTTTTTTGGAGACAGAGTCTCACTCTGTCACCTGAGTGCAATGGTGCGATCTCGGCTCACTGCAACCGCCACCTCCTGGGTTCCAATGATTCTCCTGCCTCAGCCTCCCAAGTAGCTAGGACTACAGGCACACACCACCAGACCTGGCTCATTTTTTTTTTTTTTTTTTTTTCTATTTTCAGTAGAGATGGGGTTTCACTATGTTAGCCAGGATGGTCTCGATCTCCTGACCGTGTGATCCACCCGCCTTGGCCTCCCAACATGCTGAATTATAGGTGTGAGCCACCACGCCCGGGCTCCAATTTGCTTCTTGTCTGCCAACAGCTAAACAGCTAAATCCTGAAGTCCTCTGATCTCCTGTGCGTCACTACAAGTTCCAGCCTTCCAGAAGTTGTTTATTCTCTTACCTCATTCATCACAGAGGAAAATAATGGCAACAGCAGAAGCCAATTATGAGAAACAAGCATGCAAATAAGACAGAAGTGGACCCACACAAATACATTAGTTGACTAAATCAAAATTATGAGACTAAAAATGACTCAGTGAAGGATTCACGATTGGAACAGTTCAGGATGGCAATGGATGGAATCATCCGATTTGCCTTCCATACTCAAAATTCGGATGGAGACGCTAAGATAAGGTGTAACTGGTTCATACTTTTTTAGGATGTTCTTCTGCAGGCTTCTCTTCTTTCTGAAATAATGTTGAAACCATAGGTCAACAAAATTCCCAGAACAGGGCCTCTGGCCTCCAAACACATCCTTACGGGTTCGCCCTTCCCTCCTGACCATCCCACAGTGCACAGGCTGCTGCAGGCACCAGGGCGCCTCCATTCCCCGCACAGCTCCCCACCCGCCGCCGCCCACCCTGCTCTCCCGTGTCCGCTCCCATCATCGGCTTTTAGGACTTGAGAAAATCCCCACCTCTGGTCACAAGCTTTGCAAAAGTGGGCCAGATGAGGTGGTCCCGAGTTGCGTCAGGGAAGCCCTCTGCCATCTGCAAGGGGAGGCTACGTGACTTACCCGGCTCCTTGAGTCCACGTTTAACAGGCACACGCCGCAGGCAAGTTCCTGAGCGTTTTTAATCCCAGGCCGTAGCATGCAGGAGGAAAAATCCAGCGAGTTCTCATCTGGCTGTGAGGATGATAAGACAAACGGGTAAGAAGTCCAGCGAGTCCATGAGCTGTTCGCTTCACACTCCCTTGTCACTCACCCCCAGTAGGTCTAGCGGCAAGTTAAGAACTCTCTAACGCCACCACTATCAACATGAAACTTCCCAAACATCTACTGAGAACCCAGGTGCTAGGAAAGCCGGCACAAGTAAAATATACCCTCTGGCCTCTGAGAACTCGGTCTTGGGTGGGCGCCCAGGGGAGCCAGTGCAGTGCCATGAGTGCTGGATGTGCCTACTTAGGGGAAGTCTGGAGTGCCAGGGCACAAGGGAGGGGTACTTAGCCCAACATGAGGAGGGAGGGGCCTGAAGCTGGAGACTGCTTCCTAGAACTTTTTTTTTTTTTTTTTTGAGACAGTGTCTTGTTCTGTCACCCACAACCTCTGCCTCCCAGGTTCAAGTGATTCTCCTGCCTCAGCCTTCCGAGTAGCCGAGATTACAGGCGTGCCACCATGCCTGGCTAATTTTGTATTTTTAGTAGAGACGGGGTTTCACCATGTTGGTCAGGCTGGTCTTGAACTCCTGACCTCAGGTGATCTACCACCTTGCCCTCCCAAAATGGTGGGATTACAGGCATGAGCCACCACACCTGGCCAGCTTCCTAGAACTTAGAATCACCTTGATAGAGTCTAGATGGGAACTGCTAAGTGAAGGGGATGGGGCTGGGTGAGGTAAGGGAGGGAAGGATATTCTATGCGGAAGCAGCAGCATGGGCAAAGGCCTCTGAGCTCAAGACGAGGTATGGGAAGGAATCTAGAGGGTGGGGGCAGAGACCAGGAAAGGAGGAAGATGAAGCCGCAGCATGAACCTCAAGGAAGATAAGAAACATCCTGGAAGCCACTAAGGGTTCCAACTAGATCACGACAGGCCCAGGTTCGTATTACTGACAGATAATATACCGCCTATGCTGCAGAACAGGCAATGAATTGGGGGGTGGCAATCCCGGGGCCTCAGCCAGAGAAATGGACAGGTGAAGGCTGCTAAGGCAGGAGAATGACCAGGCCTGGCTGACCTGTTGGAGGTGAAAGGTTGCAGGGCCCGGGCAGCTGAGAAAAGTCACCACAATGAGACATGTGAGAGAAGGACCAGGCTTGAGGATGGAGGCTGGGGAGAAGAGATCAGTTTGGTGCAAGCTGAGCTGGAGCTGCCTGTGGGACAGCGAAGGCCACATGCTACAGAAGCAGGAGGCTGGACATACACACAGGCCTCGTGCTTGTGGACAGATCTGGAAGTCACCAGCTACAGACCATAAATAGAACAGCAGCTAATAAGCCCTTACTTGGACGGGCACTATACTAAGCTCTTTACATGCATTATCTAATTCACTCACCAAAAAAAAAAGTTAAAAGGGTACGTCTCAATCTTGGAAAGCCGTCCATTTGCTCTGTGGCTCAGGCTGGAGTGTAATGGTGTGATCACAGCTCACTGCAGCCTTGACTTCGCGGGCTCGAGAGATCCTCCCACCTCAGCCCCTCAAATAGCTTGGACCACATGTGCGTGCCACCATGCCCAGATCATTTTTTGATTTTTTTGTAAGATGTCTCCCTATGGTGCCCAGGCTGATCTTGGACTCCTGGGCTCAAGTGATCCTCTCAAAGTGCTGGGATTACAGGCACTGAGCCACTGTGCCCACACTTTTATTTATTTTGAGATAGGGTCTGACTCTGTTGCCCAGGCTGGAGTGTGGTGGTGTCATCTTGGCTCACGACAAGCTTCTGCCACCCAGGCTCAAAGCGATCCTCCTGCCTCAGCCTCCCAAGTAGCTGGGACTACAGGTGTGCACCACCATGCCTGGCTAACACATTTCTTTTTGAGACAGTCTTGCTCTTTCACCCAGGCTAGAGTCCAGTGGTGCAATCTCAGCTCACTACAACCTCCACCTCCCAGGTTGAAGCAATCCTTCTGCCTCAGCCTCCTGAGTAGCTGGGACTACAGGCATGAGCCCCCACACCCGGCCACACACTTTTTTTTTTTTTTTGAGACAGAGTTTCGCTCTTGTTACCCAGACTGGAGTGCAACGGCCCGATCTTGGCTCACCGCAACCTCCGCCTCCTGGGTTCAGGCAATTCTCCTGCCTCAGCCTCCTGAGTAGCTGGGATTACAGGCACGCGCCACCATGCCCAGCTCATTTTTTGTATTTTTAGTAGAGACGGGGTTTCACCATGTTGACCAGGTTGGTCTCGATCTCTCGACCTCGTGATCCACCCGCCTCGGCCTCCCAAAGTGCTGGAATTACAGGAGTGAGCCACCGCGCCCGGCCAACACTTTTAAGTTTGATCTGTACTAGTAACATTTTCTCCATCACTTTTTTAGCACTGAGGGATTTCCTCAGTGCTAAAATAACTTGAGACATACATAACCCTTTTCAGGTGGACAACAGTAAAATTTAAGAACTAGAATGTTTTAAGTATTACCTCTATTTTTAATATAATTTATTTAACTGCAAATTCATATCATTTAATTTGTGTTTGTTTTGTTTTGCTTTTGAGCTAGAGTCTCACTCTGTCACAAAGGCTGGAGTACAGAAGCATGATCGTGGCTCACTGCAGCCTCAAACTCTTGGGATCAAGCAATCCTTTTGCCTCAGCCTCCTGAGTAGCTGGGACTAAAGGTGTGTGCCACTACACTGGGCTAACTTCTTTATTTTTAGCAGAGATGAGGTCTATGTTGCCCGGGCTGGTCTAGAACTTCTGGCCTGAAGCAATCCTTCCATCTCAGCCTCCCGAAGTGTTAGGATTATAGGCATGAGCCACTGCACCCAGTCTTCATTTAATTTTTAGTAATAACTACTTAACACTACTTGACAAATGGCTCATAAAATTCCTCAACATTTAACAATCAACTCTTGCAAGCCAGTAAGAACTGGCTCTAACACCCTAGTGCAACAGAAGGAAATCTTAGGTGGGAGCCTACAAGTTGAGGAGTTCCTTCCAGAGGGCTTATCCTCGCTCTCCAGCAGGAGGTGGGATCATCAGCTGGGTCTGAAAACGGCAGTAGCCTTGTGAACGCCAAGCATCAAACTCGTGGTGGTGTGATTCTCTCCACCAGCACACAGGGGTCAAGGTGGGGGTGGAGAACGTGGACGGCTGCACTGATTCTGGTTGGGTTCTATCCACTGAGTATGACGGGAGGGAGTGAGTAGGGATGCCCCATGCACCGTGCAGAGTAAGCAGGTGAGAAAAGCGAAGACAGAAGAGGGTTGAAAGGACCCCAGTGAAAGAGACAATGTCCTGTCTTGAGAACCAAAAACAGGAGCACTGCCAGTGAAGAGTGAGACAATGGAGGGCTGCCCATGTGTCTCAGGAAGTTAGATGTCTGAGTCCGAGGTTGCACAGGTGCAGCACAGTGTTTGCTAAGACAGCCCACCGTGATGATGCGAGCAGGCGGCTGAAGTGCAGGAGAAACAGTGGCCTGTGCTCCAGGCGGTCAAGCATCTGTGGGCCTGGCATGGTGGCTGTTTGTCCTCATGGATACTGAGGTGACCCAGGACGATGGCAAATTCCTGCCACAGTAACAGCTACATTTCCCATAGTTATTCCAGTCTGAAACCATTGAGAAGTTTACACATCGTTTTTGAGCAACAACGCAAAATTATATCATCTGTATTTTTCCTCACCAGAAAAGAGATTTCTCCTTACAAAAATAAAAATGTGTAGATTATGTATGATGTTCCCCGTTCCATTCTAATTTGAAATAATAAACCATGAACTAGCACCACAAACCTTTCTTAAACACATTTGAGCTAGATCCATTGAGACCAGAGCTGGGGAAGGAAGAACACACGGTTTTCAAAGAAAAGGTGAGGTGTCTGTTTCAACTGTGTGCAGGGGACTCTCATGTACGTGATCAAAGTCAACTTACATGGCCTTAGTCAAGTCATAGGGTATGTTTCTTTTTCTTTTTTGAGATGGAGTTTTGCTCTTGTTGCCTAGGTTGGAGTGCAACGGTACAACCTCGGCTCACCACAACCTCCGCCTTCAAGGTTCAAGCGATTTTCCTGCCTCAGTCTCCAAAATAGCTAGGATTACAAGCATACTCCACCATGCCCAGCTAATTCTGTATTTTTAGTAGAGATGGGGTTTCTCTGTGTTGGTCAGGCTGGTCTCGAACTCCCAACCTCAGGTGATCCACCTGCCTCCGCCTCCCAAAGTGCTGGGATTACAGGCCTCTGAGCCACCACACTCAGCTGTTTTCTTTCCTCTCTTTTCTTTTTAGTGCAACCATGGTCACTGTGGTCAAATGCAGAAGAGGCAGGCACTACCACTTGCTTGTACTGCAGTCAGTCATCTGTAAAATGTTAACAATTTCACTTGCCCTACACCTCTCTCCCATTTATATATATTTCAGATAAACATAAAACATGCTCTGGAAGGGAAAAAGTTGTCTATATCATTATCACCATCATTCACTTTGACACATAAACTCTCAGCAAGCTTTTTAAAGAGGTTAAAACATAGTCTCGCCTCTGTAATCCACATTATAGATAGTCACCATGTTACTGAATCAGGGCTATTTGAGAAATAGTTAGAATCTGAGAAAACTCTGAGTCCTGAAATCAACCAAGAGAAGCCCCTTAATATCTGTTTACCAAAGGCATAAGGAAAGCAAATGAAAAGGTCATACTGTAATCTCCAATGGAAACCAAGGCTCTGCATAAATGACCCTGTGATCAAATATGCCCTCTACAAGTCACCTTAATCATCTCTTTATTTGGCAAGTATTTCATGCATTTAGTAAATATTTTAAAATAAACAGATATTATATATGGCCTATTGACAATGACTAAGTCCCAGTGTCAGACTGAGACATGTAATCCTGAATCTTTAGCCTACAATAAACTGCTACAATGGTGTCCAAGAAGATCCTTGTTTAATTTTTTTTTTTTTTTTTTTTTTTGAGATGGAGTTTTTGCTCTTGTTGCCCAGGCTGGAGTGCAGTGGCACAATCTTGGCTCACCACAACC